CGCCCGTATAATTGGATTTAATTTAAACGGTTATTTGATTTTGAAGTGTAATCGAAAAGCATAACACTTTAATAACAATAACAATATTATTATAAAGACACCACACGCGGCCGTATCGAATCAACCACGTAGTAACCTAATTGGATCAAAATATAAACGTCAACTTTTTCAGATTATTATTGCTTCATTGCCGTGCTATCCTTAAAGTACACTTCGTATTTCTATTAGATTTTATTTCGTAAAATGTGTCAACCCATTTAATTTTCGAAGGTAGTATGACTTAGAAGGTAGAAAGAACAATTTCAACCATAAATTAATAGTCCGGTATTATCTATCCCAAAATACATGTGTGTATATTATTACGTAGAAACGTTCTCTGTGTCGGAGTCACTCTTCTTACATTAAATCTGTATGCACGTCAGTTAATAATAAACTAAATTCATATTATGCGAATACTTTAATTTTTAAAACTCAACTTTTTCTGTTATCTCCAAGATGATGCTTGAATTTCGAATTTTATTCAACGATGACTTATCACATTAGTAATATTTGGTGTTTATAATAGTTTTGCAACCTTTAGAAGGTTTGGTTTTACAACCATGTGTTACTTTTGTTGTTATATTTATAATTTTTTATAATCTGTTTTTTTGTTTAGGGTTTCAAAAAATGTAATCTTTGGCTCTTCTTCTTATACCTCAATTAGTAATTATCACCAATTAAAGTACTTTTTTTTATTGAGAAGTTCATTCTAGGGTAAATATGCGGTAGTTGTTTTATTTGCGATAATTCAAAATCAAGGAAAATATTTTATTTTTGTGGAGCTGGAGTGGTTTTATATAACTGCAGATTGTATAGTATTAAATATTTTAATTTTTATATGTAGATATATATTTATAACAGTAAGATATTAAAAATTACTATTTATTTTACTAATTATATAATATCAAAAATTAAGTTGAATTAATTTTATCGCAGACTAGAAATGTTGTAAACATAATGAATGAATGTAATTTATTAACTAGGTGGATGCACGTTATTACAATTTTTCCAAGAAAATAATTGTACCGGAAAACACAGAACCGTAGACACAAACAATTATACTTAGAAATTGAATCTCTGTATAAATGTATGTGTATATATTTCGTTATTGTAGTAGGTATTTGCATTACACCTATGTATCTGTATTAAACCATAGTAAGACACCCAGTTTCAAACTTTCATCGCGCTATACTAATCCTACGTTTCCAAGAGCAAATTGAATACGATACTACGCATTCCCTCAATGGGTAAGCCTATGAATTTAAAAATAATTTTCATTTTTTTCGCTTGACATTCAAATTACCATATAAATATGCAATTTCACGCGCGTCAACGTCTTTCTTAAAAACTATTTCTGCTCACAAAAATGGTCTGAAACAATTCGAACAAAAAACTAATCTAAAATAAAACAAAAATAAATGTTTAGGATGTTCAGAATTAAAGTTTCGTTTTTTTTACTGCTTTAATTATAATATATGAAATTTAAAATCTGGAGCTGGTAAAGACAAAAACATTATTAGGCACGTATATTGTTAATCAAATAATTATTATTACTTGGAAGTACTGTTCCAGTAAAAATTCAAATAATAGGATTAAATATTATAAACAGAAGTAAATAAATGAAGAACCCGATGCTGTGATAATATTGTCATACAAAGATTATTTTAAATTATTAAATAATATTTGCCGAAAGTTGGCTTAATGTCAAGAAATTTTCGCAAGACCCTTTTCTTGATATAATGAAGCGTATTTTCAAGTATTTCTCAAAATCTAGTGTTTACAAACGTATTTAAATTAACTGTTTAAATTAAACTGTTTTGTATTTAGCAAAACAAAATCCCGTAGAAACTTAAATATATTTAGGGCCGGTTTATAATGGATACACTTAAAATATTGTTATGTTTTTTTTATTATAATACTTAACCGTTCGTTATTTCTCATAATTCTGTATATATATTAAAATAATCCTGCATGTCTATTAAAATATTACTGCTCCATAAGCGCATTTAATATTAAGTACAAATATAAATACTTAGGTAATTAATCTTATAATTTTCAAAATGTTTGAAGTAAAATAAACAATGTAATAGTCAACAACAAAAAAGACATTCGAAGGCGATAACCTGGAACGTTGAATTTCTTATGCCGTTTGTTAAGATTAAATAATAATGATTAATGGTAAATGGTATATTTTAAGGTTTAAGGCGCATATGAAAAAATACTTTATAAAGTTAGTTTTTAATTATTATTATTACTTTATGTACTTAGATAGTATTTTGTTTTGTTATTTAAAATATTTTATTTTCTCTGTATTATGTTCACTCATTTGGATATTATATTATAGGTATAACTGGCAAAATGTAGCATTTTGAGAATCTGTACATCAATATAATAATCTGTTTATCAATATAAAGCTATTCTACAATTACTATTCATATATGCACTAGATCAATATTTATATTTGTTTAAACAAATTAATCCTTCCGAATTCCATCAAAAATTAGTCCTGCTACTATAAACGATATTATTTATATTTTAATATTAACAAAATACAATTATTATTATTATTATCATTATTATTTTTTTGCAGTTCGTTTAGTTCTAGTTAAACTAAAGCTTTAAACGCCGTGCCGGTCACGCGCGTGTTATTATAACTGTGATTGATCGAGAGAAAAAAATCAAAATGCTATAATTCTGTACTTTTGGGGCTCTTCCGGATAAAAGCAACAACAACAAAAAAAAAAGCTCATTGAATGAGGTAAATAAAAATATTACATTTGATTGACCATCCATCTCGTCTCTTGAAAATATATTTCATGCGTTTGATCGAACAAACGCAATAATGGCTCAACATGGACTATATTTTATTCGTTTTTTGCTGTTTCCCGGTTTCAAGTTTTAATTTGTAATAAAGAGAATGCCTAGATAATACTGTTTGTTATATGTACGGTTAGGTTAGGTTAAGCCCTGTCGAGTCGAATGTCATTTTCTCCCAGCTACCGCGTTACCTCTACAGACATCACATCGTACCTAGTCATCCGATAATATAGTAATAGTGTAAAATGTATTTCTCTGTAATTATAAATGCGTCGTCAGGGCCTTTGTGCGCTGTATTCTCCAGTAGGCGTAACACTATGAACATAGCATCCTTTCGTTACCGTACACTAAAGTAGTACTTATATTTTATAGGCTACATGTATAGTTTATAGTAATTCAATCGTGCATAATACTGTTAGTTTTCGTTTAATCATGGATAGTGTTACTAAAGCAAATAGACTAGGCTCACTGGTCATATATTATTAAACAGGAAAAAAATTTAACTATGGAAAATATAATTAGATTTGTTTTTCAAACATTTTTTTATTAGCGAAAGTTTGGCGCTATAACTCGTTAGATGTGTCAATTTTATTAATATATTCACCTGTATAATTATATTACAATTTTGTCTTGGATACAAACGTGATTGTAACACAGTAATTTAATTAATTTGCGCTTTAGATTATAATATGTAAATGTAAAATCAGAATGTATGCTGTACACTCCTACGTTTATTAAACGTACACGTCATAGTACATTATAATGATGAACGCGAGCAAATATGTTATTCTTTTAAGTAGTATAATTATATCGAAAGCAGAACAGAACTGCAAGTCTAACATGTTTATACATTTTGATTAGTACCAACTGGCTTGAACAATAAATACCTTGCGTTATTTATAATCTGTTAACATCTTTTTTAGAATGTATGATATTTATTGTTTTTTTTTTAATTGTTTGAAAATGCATCAATAAATTGTTGATAGATAAAAAAAAATTGAAAACTATATTATTAATATATTTTTGATAGCATTTATTCTGTGTCAGTGTATTGATGAATTTTAATATGACCAAATATGTAATAAGTACCAGAGATTTTTAGTTTGTATAAATTTTACATCACGATATTAAAACTGAGTTTGTATAAATTAATTGTACATTAAAAAATATACGCTAGTTAGAGTTAAGTCGATCTAACAATAATTAAGTACCGGAAACATCTATAAGTGAATTCCATATGTATAATGCCGTTTTATTTGGATAAAAATATTTTTGGTAGGCTTGTATATGTCGGCTGCTTTTAGTGCACAACATTTCGGGTCCTACGCTTACACTTACACATGACATTGTAGATACACATTTTTCACGAAACTTTTTTATCTTATTATTCAATTACGTTGTACACCCAATTTCCAACGTTCAAACATACCAACGCAAAATGTGTTTAATTCGCTTCGTGATGAGTGATGACTAAAAAACAAACATACCTACAACAAAAACGAAAGATGACAAGGTTTTAGAGACAATATCATATCCTTTTTGTTGTTTAATCTAACATTTAGCTTATTATTTAACATTTTAAATACAATTTTTATACTTTTTTAAAATAGCTATAACTTTTTCTTAAGTACTTTTTTTTTTCAAAATCGAATATGATATTGTCGCCAAAATGTTGTTATCTTTCGATTTCATAATAGGTAGGGGTTTTAAAACGCATTCTACGTAGCTATAATTAGATGAAAAAAAATGTTAAACTACCGGCAAGGATGTTGTGATGGTCCAAAAAATAAATTAACTAAAAAAAAAAGTCCTAATTACGGTACTAATAATTACACATCACAGTCTAACCTTGAAATTAATATTTTGAAAAAATTGCCTATACCTAACTTCTTAATAAACAGGGGTATCACGTCTTCTATATCTTTGAACTATTTTCTTTGTAAAATTAAGTTATATAAGTATAAATATATTTTCTAATTGTATTGATAAAGTCCTGGATGACTAAGGTTATTGGCCTTTTTACTATTGTAGGCATTCTATACTTTAATGAATATATTATTTGATAGTAAACGGTGTATAATGATTAATAACTTTATTAGTAATATATGTTGATCGTTTTATTTTTGTTATTTTTTTTTTTTCAGTGGTATCAGTCAATTTACAAAAATCAAACATGAATAGACAGCAGGTAGCAATTGTTTTATGCATAGTTGGGTGGGCGATATTGTGCATACTGCCGGACAACGTCAACGCGACTGACAAATTCTTCCAAACAGGTGGTCGGTTTGGAAAAAGGCGCGAAAATCGTTATACAGGTAAATATTAATAATAACCAAAATTGTCTGTGAAAACCTATGATTTAACTGGGTTACATGGATTTGAGCATACTAGTTGCCAAGGGCGCCCGCAGGGGAAAATTCCGGGGGGGGGGGCGACTATGATTATGTAATCGATTATGAAAATTTGAGATAGTGGATATCATTTTTTTTAACTTGCAGAAAAGCAAGGGGTGGAGTTTTCCCCCTATGGGTGTCCTTGCTAGTTGCATGGGGGAACCTACATTTTTATACAAACTTCTGATTTCTGAATCGTAACTCAAATCTAATAGAAACATAATAATTTCTACACAGGTATTACAGATATTTTATTGGTTTTTAATATCATAAAAAACAATTTAAAAAAATATAATATGTACTTAAATACTGTTTTTTAAATACTCTAATAGTAGTAAAAAAAATTATTATAAATTAACATAATATAAAAATAGAAAACCGGTAATTAGTAATTATGATTTTTTTTTCTAGCTATCGTCGAGTATGCCTTATTCTTTTTTAATAATATACGTATACGCAGCCCTATAAATAGATATATAATCATCAATTACTAATAAAAAATATTTCAATAAAATCGTTTAATTTTAATTTTTAGTACTTGAAATTATTTCAAGTATACAGTAAAAGTATTTAATTGATCGGAAAATTTTCTGGTCATAATCACATTTTACTCTCAATTTAAATAAATAAACGGTTTTTTTAAAACCAGGTAATTATTGTACTAATAAAAAACAAAAAAATGCCGATAACATAGAGGAATGTAATTGCACAACGATGATCTGCAAGTATTTTTCGAAAGTTACTCTAGTTAAATCAGGTTGATCACAGAAAAATAAAAAAGTCAATAAAATGTTTGTATAGATTAGCAACCTCAATTTTTATGCCGGACGCAACAAGTATAATTTGTCTTTTTTAGTTATAGTAAGGATCTGACGGAACTCGTAGTTTCTCGGATAAGCGACCATATGAATTATTGGCATTGTCTAATCTTAAAAGTCAAATCTATGTTTTTATCGGTCGATTTAATTAACTATTTCCATGCTCAAGCTATATGTATAGAAAAAGTTTCTTTGTTGTTGATGACAAACTAAAATAAAAATTAAAAAGTGTACCATACATTGTGCAGCGCCGTGAAATAAATCATAATAAATCATAGATTAAAACAACAAGGGTTGCAAAAGGCTCAGAAATAGCTTAAAACCTCTTTTGTTTTGTTTCAAGTCTCAACATTTATAACTTTTTATAATTTTCAAATTTTAAAAGACGTAATTAATCTTATCAGATTATTTGAATTTTGAATTTCCATTCTCTAACTTTACTAGTTAATACTAATAAGGTAGAGCTACTATTCACCATTTGATTTAGAGTCGGGCAGGGAAAATAAAAATCTAAATTTCAAAAATTTCCTGTGTTACATCTCACGTAGGAATTGAGAAATGGTACATATTTTTTAAACGAGAACATATAATCCAATCACATTCACATTTTTAGCTGGGCCTTAATTCTAGCATAATGTACTCGTAATACAAAATTGACGATTATATGAAGTTAGAATATTGTAGCGAAAAATATTCCTTTTTTATTAACAGTATTGTTGAAATTGTATTAAAATAAATGAAATAAAACTTGTAAAAATAATAACGACTTATTTTTTTTAGGCGTCTAAGTATAAATATCATGTATAGAATAATGAACAACAATTTGTAAAATATTTTTTAAACATTAAATTGCTGGTCGAAACATTTATTTTTTTTAATTAAAACCATTCTTTTTAACATTTCTATATTCTCTGAAATGTTTGAAAAATAATGTACATTTTATTTAATAGAGGTGGTATAGTTTAAAAATAATCATTAAAATATCAGGTACAATTTTGTGAAAAATTGAATACCTAAAAATAATAAACATTAGTTTAAGAACAACAATGTTGGATCGCCTGAGTGGTTGTGTTCTATTTTTCACCACACCATAGGGGAAGAGGATTATACGTTTGTTTCAAATTCGTCTTACAAGTAGTTGCCAAACATTGTAGCCCGCATGGATTGTTATTCCGTAATGGAAAAAGTTTCATATAAACGTTACAATTTAGATAGATTACATTTTGTATTGAAATAAGTTATTTGTTTTCGAATAATGCAACTTTACCAGTCATCCCACAAAATTATTTTACTATCGTTCACAGTATATTGTATATTGTAGTTCATACCATATGCAGATTGAGTTGTGTATACAATATACAACCCATCGGGGAAGATTTTAAATAAAGTCATTCTTTTTTCTATTTTTAGAAATACCCGTGGCAAATGTTACCGAAATCAATTTTTCTTGTAAATAATATACTATAAAAATTGTCGAATTGCGGTTTGATTGTACAAGCTAGGGTGCGTTTAAGCATTGCTCGCTAGTCGCAGGCGTCATACTACTGTTTGTCTGTTTCTCGAAGTTAAAAATGTTGTGTGAACTATATTTTTATCTATGCCAAACGTGTAAATCGATTAACGAAAAGCAAAACACCGTCAAATTAAGTCTCTATGTATTGTTCAATTAGCTTTGTTTAACCGTGAGAGTTATGATTATCATATTTGATATGGGCGTACTACTTAAACGCAATATTCTCTCCTCACAAACAATTTAAAATTACAAAATAACTCATAAAGTTATTAATCAAAATTGGTTATCAAAAAACCAACGTTTTAGATGATTATATTTTATAATATAAAAGTTGAGTAAATATTTGTTACGTTTCCGTGTACGTTTCAAAGTGATGCATATTTCTATAAAAAGAGAAGGTTACAATTTCACGTTCTGAAATAAAGTAACAAATTAAAACGTTTACAAATGGAAAAATTGAAATTATAATAAATATATTTATTTTCCTAATCATACTCAACTATTGATCATATTAAAACAAACAATCATTTTTGCATTCTGTTTATTGTTTCAACAAATTTTGATTTTGTATAGAATATATTATTTTCTTTTTCAAATAAAATAATTTAAACGCTTCAATCGTTCGTGTTGATAAAATTTAATGTATTTATTTATAACGCTTATGTTGTTAAAATGTATTTTTTTTATACAATTTTGATTACATTGTTTTCATCTATCTACTTGATTCTAACATGAAATATGTGCACATTTTAAAAGGAATGAATTCCCTTTTTTACAGAAACATTTAGTGAACCATTCAGAAAAGTATATCCATTGTGGTATAGCGCGTGTGAATGGGAATGGGGTCGTCTAATGAATACAATAAGAAAACAAGAAATATTGGAAAGAGATTTGGTTTTGGATTTTTACTTGTGTGGTTTGAGGGATAAGTTAGGTACATATATTTTTAAACCTCAATCATGTGTATGCCTTAGTTTTTGTATTTTCTTAATTAGCATTATAGCATTAGCGGTTGTAACTTAAAAATAGTTTAGGTTGTTAATTTTGGATGAATCTATACGAATCCAAGGTTAGTGTTTGAAAAATATCTAAGCAATAAAAATAAGTATGAATTATTATGAAGTATTTATTATTATTTATTATTAATACAATTGTAATTTAACGTATTTCGTTTAACACCAACTAAAGATTCGAATAGAAGTGGTAATAATAGTATTGATGTGTTTGTGGTTGTTTCGATGTAATTTTGTTGTTTGTATGTGTATTTATGTGCGTGCGAGTAGTTTAAAATGTAGAGTATAATTTTTAATCTACTAAATGGGTGATTAATTATTATACTATTGAGTTGGATTGGCAACGAGTGTCGAGGTAGATAATCTGTGTTTTTCTCAGTTATAATAGTATAAGTGTCTTTACTAAGAGAAAATTACTGGTCAAAGCAGATACCTAAGAATATGTCTGTAACCATTAACTATAATAGGATTAAAAAAGTGACAGTTTCTATCCGTGAATCGTTATATAGATTTATATTTCAGAATGGATAACATTGATTCAGATTATAGTAATATCTGTATTTCTTGTTGTGTATATTATGATTTTATAGCTTATTTCTTTTGTATGTTGGAGATGGCTCTATTCTACTTGTAGTTTATCAATTATAAATGATAATACTGACTGAGTTATAATACAAAAAAAAAAAATTAAGTAAATTTTAGTTTAGAAGTTCTAACATTTCTAACAGTTCAAACTTTTATTTAATGGACTAACAATAAAATCATACTAAATTGTATTTAGTTTTATCTATCTCATATTGTATAAGTAAAATTTACTTGTATGAAAATCAAATACCACTAAAAATAAGATGACGGAATATCCTAAATAATTTATTCCAATAAAAAAGAAAACGTATAAGTATAAAACTATATAGACGTGTGAGTAATCGTAAAATATCTCGTTTTATTCTAGTTGTTTTTTTAATTGTCATTCTACCACATTTTTTTAAACAATTTAAGTGTTTTAATAAATGTTTTAATTTTATATTTGTTTACAGTTAAGGGAGGAGGGGTTTCAAATTAATTGATTTTTTTGTAGACTAAAAAAATAACGTAAAAATACAACCTTAAAGAGTAGAGGTATAACTCGAGCCTTAACTATCGAGTTATTTTTGCATCTCCATACGAAACAAATTTGGTCAAATTACTGATGAGACTTTAAGAATCATTTTATTATTTGGACAAAATTGGGAAAATTTAATAATAACCGGTTTAAAAAGTACCGCATCCAAACGTCGGTATTTAAAATAATAAAATTATACAGAAGAAATTATAATACGGATATAATTACAAAATGAGAGTTTGGACGCCAAATGATGATCATGTTCAATATACATAATATTTACTCTGTCAATCCTAGGTCAACGTTGTAACTTGTATCTACTTGATTAACTATGGAATTCGTTAATAATGAAAAATCGAAGACATTTATTATCTACAAAGGTTACTAATTTTTTTTTAATGTATTTAATAAAAGGCAAAGGTAAGGTAATATTTGACAAAAATTGATCTATATTTTACATAATATCCCCTCTAATTTTGTGGTAAAAAATATTAGATTTTCTAGGTACAAAACTTTTTAAGTTATTTTTCTCTGAGTTATGGTAAAAGTTTTATTACAAATGACTATGAAAAAAGAGTCATTTTCTGGTGTATCTATTGGACGGATTTCATTTTTTTTTATGTGAAGCATTACATTTTCTCTATAGAGGCTAAAAGGCAGATTGTTTATTTAAAAATTAGAAAAATAGTTAAATTTATTAGAAAAAACTATAAAAATGTAAAAATACAAACGCTTATAAAAAAAAATTAAAAAACAAAAATTAAAAACAACCTATTAGTCCCCTCGGAGAACACATTAATCTCTAAACAAAAAAACCTTTTTTGAAATCTGTTTACTTCAGGAATCAGGAAGTGATTTCGGGTTTTAGTGCAGATGTCACTTTTATAGATAGTGATTAATCTAGACTATATCTTAATCATTGTGATGGACGGAAGACTAACCAAGTGGGTATGGAAATACGGGTTTGATAGGTTGGTTCCGTTTAAACTTTCGTTCTATTAAACATGTTTTAGCTTTATTAGATATATCATATTCATCTAATGAAAATCAACAACATATAACCCATTGGTTTATCTGGAAATGAATTTACCCAGAGAGCCGGACGATGAAATTAAGAATTGCTACAATATCATGCTTTAAAAAATATATATTTGGGGTTTGCTATGAAAACGCGTTACGTGTTTCGAATTTTGATTTAGTCTTTAATTTTTTTTTTTGGATTTTAGGTTTTTACAATAAAAAGGGTTTTTTGATAGAAACATATTCTTAGTTACTAGATGACAGTTTGAAAAATATCATATTATATTGTCGTTTTGAATGAAAAGTTTGAGTTTGTGAAATTGTGTATGTTATAAAATAATACATACAATGATCATAGTACAATTTAAATGTATTTTTTTGTATTTAGTATTGTGTTTTAATATTATTATGGTATGCGATACAATTTTGTAGTGCTTGATATGTGTTTCATTACTGTCATATAACTTGTCATTAAAAGTTAAACTCTATGTGGTCAACATCTTCTTTTTTAAGGTGATCGTTTCACTGACCTGATGAAGCCACCGACTATGGAAAACGTACCCCCAAGAATAGAACGTGGTTTTTACATCTCTAGGTACGGCAAAAGGAACTCAAACTTGTTTTCAGGTACATAATAAAAGAGCACTAGAAATTTAAAGTGCTTACATTTTTAGATTATTCATTTTGCTTGTATTTTGAAACAATAATATAACAGCATTACTGCACACTTAATAAGTAATAATTATTTTAAATTAATGATTTCAACACTAGACAAAAGCCTAAATTTTAGTTTCGACGTGAAGCTGAAAAGTATTGTTTTTTTTTAATTTTTGTGTCTGGAGTCATGATATCCCCTTTATAACTAAATCTTTTTTCCTTCAAGTATCAAGTCTATAGATCAGAAATCGTAACTTAAAGGTATGTTTTTATTGATAGCAATTTTAAAAAAGGTGACTTTACCTTCATAATATTCAAACCCGTTTCCTAACTTATTAATTTTAATAGTAAAATATTTTTATTATTTCATGTTAGATGTCATTCAAGTTTCTGTGTACAAGTGATTAAATATGCACCAGTGAATACCGCTTATCTATTTGTAACGCCGTGTTTTACTCTTATAATTGTTTTTTGATACTGTGATGATTCAATTAACTTAGGTTAGTTATTTTAGCCTTAAAGTTATATTGTTTAAAGCTAATAAATATTCGTTACTTAGATAGCAAAACGTTGTAACTCTTTATTGTAATGTCAAATCAAATATGTTATGGAGTTTAGTAGTCAAATTCATACATTTTTCACTTTTAAGTTACCAATAATAGAACAGTATATTAGATAAATATTCGTGTTTTAAATGTACTCAGTGATAAAATACCATGCATTTTTGCGCATATACTTTTTGAAGATTTCAACACCACTATAAATATATTTTTTTAAATACAATTTCTTTTTCAGTTTTGCTTGTTAAAAAAAAACAATTGTGTAAAAATTATGAAAATCTGAGTTTGTGCAAACAGTCGTTTACAAATTCAATTTTGATTTAAGATTGAACATTTTAATAATTTAATGAAATATTCAAATTAATTTTCGGTGATTATTACACTTTAATAGTTACAAAAGTATTTATCATTAATTGTACCCGTTATTTAAAAACATATTTGATAATATATAATTTTAGTTTCTAAATGTAGCTGAGAAGGTATTGTTTTTACAATGAGTTTTTTTTCTGCGTTTGGAGTTTGTACCCACTATATTTTCTAAAACGCTGAACTGAGTGCTTTAGGTAGCAACTCTATAGATCAGAAATTATACCTAAAAGGTATTTTACCAGGCAAAAAATTAAAAACGTTCACCTCATCTCCTTCGAAGTTGAGAAAATATATCTAAAAATGTACAATTTAAATATGTTTCACCTTGAAATTAAAGTTTCCTATTTTCGTTGGAATGATTCTTTACAAATAGTATTATCACGTTTAGAAACAAAAAACATATCAAAAAACCCCTTTCCCCAGGAGGGGTGAAAACTTTTTCTTTAATTCTCTTTTTTATGTGTAGTTTTAGCGTTTAGGGTGTGAGAATTATACTCGCGGTAGAGCTAGTGTAGAGCTCTAAACAGACGATCAGAACTAATGGAATCCACCCTAATACTAAAAAACTCATTATATTCATTACAAACATTTATACATTTTCTCGATATTTGTATAACTTCCATTTACAGATTGGCATCGAAGAGTATATTTGAAAGTGATTTTATCACTTTCAGTTGTGATTCTACTGACTTCACTGTATTGGCTTTTTTAGAAATTATATTCACAAACATTGAAATAGTAATTGTATGTTATTTAATAATGTTCAAAAATGTATCATTTTAGACAATGAATATTTCACACTGTGTTTGTCATCATACGGCATGTCATGCGATTACATTGGATTGTCAAACTTGCTTCGCTGCAAAAGGTACATTTAAATTTTTAACATTATGTTATGTTATATTTGTACTCCAGTGACAATATTGAGTTTTCCTGTGATACTTACAGAATACGCCCCTTGGACTGTTCGACCGAGAACCTGGTAGATGATAAAGTCTCATTGAAGTCCGACAACACCATGCAAAATTTCAAAAACGATTAGAGCGACGCTTCGCAATACATTTAAAAAAAATCGATAGCATTCATTAAAGATCATTAGTAATTATATCGTGCAATACTTTAAAATTTAGACACTTATGTAATACATTTTATTTTATAGTGGACATAAATTTAGCACTTATATGTGGATACTGGATAGGTAATTATTAATTAGTTATGTAACTTATGGTCACTGACATGAAATGTAGTGTAGTTATAATAATATTAATAAGATGTTAACACCGTCTATGGAGAACTTAAAACAAAAAAACTAAAAACTAGAAAATGCGTTTTAAGTAGCCTTATTGGTTAAAGTAGTTTTTAAAAATAAACAGTACCTAGTAATAATTTAAACTATTATAATATAAAAACTTGAAATTATTTACGAAATAAAAAACACAAACCGTTGGATTTACTATTGTTAATTATTGTAAATAAACTATAAGGTTTGAATTTATTTGTTGCTCTGGTAAAGTGTTATGTATAACAATAAACAACACGTTTTGTAATAGAACTTACACAGGTACACAAACGACAAATCCGAAAAGTTAAATAATTATTTACAAATAACTCAAGTGTTTATTATTTAATTTCAACTTTGGATACTAAACTTTTTTTCGCACCCGATAGCGGAACAAGAAGAGTAATTTGTTTGTTTGCATAATATTTTACTCGGTTATATCATACTACTTTAATTATTTAATCCTTAATTTCTCTTAATCGAATCTGCAAAATTGAAGATCAATCCAGAATTTAATTTTAAACCAGAAAGCATATTGATGTAAAGTTAAACGTTGCACGTCCATTTGCGTTAGTAAATTTAAAGTACAAATAGGCACATTAATTTTGTTCCAAAAATCAGGTGTAAAAATTAAATTTTATTTTCTAGAGTATATTATTATACACAACGCATCTCATTAATATGTATTTGTCAAGTACATAAATGTACGATTGCCGTTGTTATAATAATTACTAAATTCAGGATTTGTATCAACAAAAATTATACTGTTTTCTTGACGCTTTAGACTAAAAAGCCACTCAATTCTGTAAAGATATAAAAGTGCTTTGGTAACTATAATTTATTTAATTACAAGAAACGGAAATTTTTAAATGAAAATCGGCTCTCTACATAACATAATAAAGTAGCCAAAAAACTAGAATCTCTTAAAAGAATTAAAATTAGACCATCTTATGTAGTCAAAATTTTGTCTGGCTTTTTGGTCTAAAATAAAAGATCATAGAAAAAATGTTCTAAATTAAAAATAATACCTTAAACCAGTAAATTTATAGACATGGTCGAAATGTATTAAAACCTTATTTTTCTTAATTATTACCTATACAAAACTCTTTAAAAACAGCCTAATTTCCTTAATACAATCACCCTTTTAAATTAAATAAACATATAGTACCTATTAGTGGTGGGACTATTCGAATATTCGAATACTTTTTTCGCACGAATATTCGTTATTCGAATAACGAATATTCGAATAATCGATCTGATTTTTCGAATATTCGAATATTTTATCATTTTCTTTGCAGGATTAATTAGATTAAAAAAATTATAATTAAGAGACAACTAAGGTGTCCTTGATCTATTTTTAATAATTTTTTAACAAAATAAATATAATTATAACGAATTATTCTTTAACAAAATAATATTATCACTTATTACAACAAATAAGATATTAACAATTTATATACATATATAATTACAAAAAAACATAAATTTGACAAAATATTCGAAAATTCGAGTATTCGAATTATTTTCATAAGAATAGTATTATTCGATTATTCGAATAATTCGAATAATAGAAAAATTCGATTTGAGGTCTCAGCTCTAGTACCTATGTTCATTAAGAAGACGTCACACACCCGTTATTTTCTTCAATAAACCCGCCTTTCGCCGATTAATTTTACAAAGGCTATAATCAAAACTAAGAAATCAAATTTTTACATAATATAGACAACATTGTCTATGTTCTACTATTGCCCTTTTTTTAATATTTCAACCAGTTAATGAATAATTAATTAACTAAGAAAAGACTCTTTTGACTTTTTTAAAAATTATATAGCGTTGGTTGTATTAGGTATATCGAAAAAAAACGTATGATAGAACATAGATAATTTTGTCATAAATAATATGTACGAATTTCTTTCCTTAACTGTTTATGAAGCCTAAGAAAAATTAATCTGCGCAAAGCAGTTTTGATGGCAAACAATTTTATTTGATCCTATAAATTAACAAAGTATCCTCAATACTATATTAATAAGTATACATTATAGTTCAAACTCTAAATTAAGATTTTTCGAAAAATTGCCTATACTTTACTTCTTATAAATGACCGGTGTGGCGTTCTCTTAAGTCAATACCTAGATACATATATGTATTCACTTAATAAACAAAAATTTGTCTCTTTAATTTATTTAAAAATGATAACACGTTTACAACAGACATTGGCGAGTTCACGTTTATTGTAAGTTGCGACGTATCTTTTGCGCCTGACAACTACCGGTGAAGGCAATCCTGTGTATAAATTCTGTAAATACTTATTTACGAGGCGTATAGTAATGCAACCGCTATTACACTTATACGTACAGATTGCTCTATATTTTCGTCGGGCGTTAAACCATATTTAATTTAAACATATTATTACAGCTGTTATTACTGTTGGTGGATTTTAGGATTTACATTAAAGGATAAAGACAAGTGAGAGCAATCCCTTAAATCCTCGTGATTGGTATCCAGCTAAAATGACGTATTCCTAGTTTCGAGTTTTTTTTGGTAAAATAGATTTTATAAACATTGTTTGTTTCCGCAACGGATAAAAATGTATGTTATTTTAATATAAATACACCAACACAATATAGGAATGGTGTTAAATTTGTATAATAGGTAACCTATAGCTAATATGTAAAATATTACAATTTAGTTAAGTAACATCAATAGTTTTAATATTGAGGGGATTGCATGCGGTCTGTTTTTAAGGAGTTTTGTATAGGCAACATTTAAGAAAGAAGTGGTTTTAATAAAATTCGACCATGTTCATTAATTATCCGGTTGATTTGTATAAGCATCAAGGTATTATTTTGATTTACGTTAAAATTACGTTTAACGTAATTTTGGCTTATTTTTGATCAAAAAGCTACACAAAATTATGACTACCTACTTAAAATAGTCTAATTGCAATTTTATATAGAGATTCGAGTTTTTTGGCTACTTTACTATGTAATATGAAAACCGATTTTTATTTAAATGCTCATCGACTTTTTTCTCAGGTTGTTGTGGAAGTCGATTTTTGAATAACTGTTTCGTTTACTTAAACAAAAAACAATAACGAGAATACTAAAAATTTGAGAAATCAAAATAGGATTTAAACACAATTTTAATGTATAATCAAAATAATTTCCCACAATACCCTAGAAATAAATAAATATTTTTTTAGAATTGAAATCAGACCATCCCAAGGAGGTGTAATTTTGTCATGCTTTTAGGTTTAAAACGTCAAATCAACCGACCGATTTCAATCCCTTTAAAAATTTGATTTATGTAATATTATTTTCCGAAGTGCTACTAATGTCGAAAAAAAACTATAAATCTTAGAACAATATAAAAAAATATACTCGTAATAAAGTAAACAATAAAGAAAACCATGTTGATAGTATTCAAGCAACCGTTTAATACATGTACATTGTACAGAGTTTTTTTTTGGAGAGCTAAGCATATCAGCTACCACCGTTTGTTGTAGATCTTACACCAGACAGTGTGAATATTGTTAGTAATTTTTATTGAGACTGATTGCTTCATCGATATAGAAAATAACAATTATGTTTATAGTGATTACTATATTATGATACTATGATAAAGCTTATAAGTTGTATTACATACACGCATGTAATGAAACCTATACTGTATGATAGATGGCAGCACAAAAACAATTTTTTGTACAGTAGGTACAATGATGAAATTGTGAAATGATGTGGTTTATTTTCAACGATTTTCTAATTTGGTAAGTTCATAATTGATTTTTAAAATTGTATGTACTTTTATAATTAAGAATTGAACATTGGTTTAGTTAAGAGTCGGGCTGAACTACTTGGCTATCGAGTAATGCTCGGTGAACAGATTGGTTTTACACCTAATGTACTATTTTTTAACTTAAGTATATAAAAGTCACTAATATTGTACGTCAATTTTTTCTTCTTTAACAATTTACACCTAAACACATTCATTCCATCTATCCAACTACATTTTTTGATTTAAAATTTTATCTCTATCACTAAATTCATCTTACTCGTTTTGCTATTTAATTTTTCTTCCTTCTTTCATTATGCCCAAAACATCACAATTTATTTTCTCTCATTTTTCCTATTGTTTGAGCCACTTCTTAGCTTGCTCTTGTTACCTAAATTCTTATGCTTAACATATTATATTATGTAGGTGATTAGGTACACGCATATTTTCTACACCAACCTTATTATTTCAACTACTCTTATTTTATTTGTTCCTTTTGTATTCAATGACCAACACTAACATCCATACATTATTGCAGGCTTCATAACAGTTGTATACAAATTTTCTTTTTTACATCAATCAATTACACTTTTTTCTACTCGCCACAGCTTCTTGAATTCCTCCATCATCTCGTATAACCGATCCCGAGTACTAGTATTGGTCGCCTAGTGCAATATGGGTTGTCTATCTCTTTTTAACCACTCTTCATTATTAATGTTAACAATTACATTCAAATGTTATTTATTCGTAATCCTTATATGTGAACTTTTTCTACAGTTTAATATTTAGATGACCACAATACAAGCAAAATGAAAAATCAATAGGGGTTTCTGTTTTCTGTCAAAGATTATACTCCCATTTCCAGAACAATAAATTAAAATTGTTACCTGCTATTTTTTAAGAATACCTGAACCTAAATGTAACAAATCGTACGCCATCAACGAGTTAGACTTGTTCTACAGACTACATAATTATGTTTTGTAAGCATTTTAGCTGTACACTTTTTTTTTTGTAACAATACCGCTATGTAATCCTATTTTGAGATCTATAAAAATAGTTAAATTTAAAATGCTTGTAAATTAGTGTAATATTTCCACGGAGCTACCGTTCTCCCTTCAATATTTTTCGATATTATAAATAATAATCAACTAATTTAACAAAGTTAAATAATTAAATGAAAAATATTCGCATATTTTTTTGTCTATGAATTCAAGTTATGATCATGGCTCTCAGTATTTAATATTTATAGATTTTATACCACATTATTTATTTTATTTATTCTGTGGTTATACCTTATGTACGACATTTACAGTGTAATTAAAGTTGTAGGTTATACAAATATATGTATAGATTCAGAATCTATTAAACAAAAAATACATAAATCAAA